CCCATTGAAATTTCATTTCCTATATAAATGTTCTGTGGTAACATATCCAATTTCTTTCTGCAAAATTCCCTATTTTTTTCTAGCCTCCTAAACCAAATTTTTTAAAAATTGATTTATCCTCTTGCCATTTTAATACTTCAGTTTTCCTTTCTCAGTTCCACCATGTTGGTCAAAACGTTGACCTCATCTCTCTGCATCCCCTGAATTCTGGGTGTCCCATTCATTTCCTGGGAGATGCAGTTATTCTTTAAAGGGAAGAGATGCATGAATGGCTCCTGTCAAGTGACACTTTCTGATTTTTTTCCTCCAGAAATGGGGAGTGGAATCACTGTGGTGCTTGGGGTGCTGACTTTGGCTTCTCTTCCTTTACAACTAAATTACAACTTATAGATTAATGTAGAGGTATCAACCAGACAAGATCAGGGAACTTGAGATGCTGCTCAGTGGAATTGCTTTCACTCCTCTGGGGCGAGGGCTGGGGCTCCGATTCTGGCCTGCTCCCTGAAACTGGAGCAGTGGGGTGGCACTAGTGAGGTTGGGCATTCAGGACTGAAAGGACATACAGGAGTCTACTTGGCACTGGCCCAGAATTATTGCTTCTATTGTACCTTGTTTGTACTATTTCTTTTCTGGGAAATATTGAAGCCTGTAAGGCAGCAAATCAATCATTATTCCTTTTAAATGACTGTTCTGAAGGCAGGTTAGGTTCCTGCTGAGACTTCTGTCTACCTTACCAAAGTTCTCCTTTCTCACAATGGTCGGGCTCTGCCCACTGATACAAGGCCACAGAAGTGAGACCTTGGAAGTAGAAGGGTTTTGTGCCCTAAGGCTTCATTCTAGTTTCCATAGAAATAAGCCAGAGGTGGCACCCACTATAGGGGATCTTAAAGCCACATACACTTTGGAGAATCCCATCTCATAACAAACACCACTCAACAATAGTTTTTATAGACATAATTTACTTGTTTTGGAGGGTTTTGACAAAGGCTTTTCAATCCCCTTTTGATTATGTTTTTGCTTTTACACTTAATGGAAAAGGATGACCAATTCAAGTCAGTCAAGTTAAAGACTCTGAACAGATGAATTAAGATATATAAAAATGTAATAGATGTGAAAAAATATTAACATTTATTAAGTGACTCCTTAGGATTTGGGAGAAAATTCAATCTCAACTAGGGAACTATAATTTTAAAAAGCACAGCTGTGACTTCAGCTCTGCAGAGGTCACTATACTCTGACTTTGGGAAATTTCAGAAAATTCTCTGAGCTATAATTTCCTAGCTGGTAAACAAATAACAACCAACCATCTGCCAAGTTCAAAAATTCTCTAGATACCTGGGTACAGTGATGCACACCTATAATGCCAACAACTGGGGAGGCCAAGGCAGAAGGATCTCAAATCCAAGGCCAGTCTCAGCAACTTAGTAAGACCCTCAGCAACACAGTGAGACCCTGTCTCCAAATAAAAACCAAAAAAGGCTAGGGATAAACCTCAGTGGTAAAGCACTCCTGGGTTCAATTCCTGGCACCAAAAGAATAAAAGTAAAATAATTTTTTAAAAAATCTCTGAATCTATTGTGTTATATTCTTGCAAGAAGAAATTCTATGGAAAAAAACAGAATGTTATATTATCAATGATTATGTAGGATTGGTAATAAGAACTTTTATTTGCAGGAAGGTTGTCAGCAGTAACATCAGGAAGGAAAAAGGAAGAAAAATGACTACCATTTTCAAATTTTTTCAACATGTCAAACAAATTCCAAGACCTTTTCACATACACACATAATTATTTCCACTTACAGATGTAGAAACTGAGGCACAGAGAGGTTAAATAATCTGCCCAAGGCCATCCAATTGTTAAGTGGCAGAGTCAAACCTTAAAGTCAAAGGGATTCTAGAACTTATATTCAATCACATCCCTGTATTACTTCTTGTTATTCATCAATTACGCAAATGTTAGATGGATTCGGATTATAGGAAGACATTGAATTAATTCCACCTGAAGATCCCAAGATGAATGAGACAATGTCCTTTTCCTCAAGAAGCTTAAAATATACACGGCAGATACTCAGAAGTATGTGTGGAATGAGTGACTTATCTCAACCTAAGCTATTTGACAGCCATCTCCTCTGTTCTGAAATGTTAGTGGTTCCATTCAAAACAAGGCAAGGGCAGCTATTTGTGGAAGGGATGCATGAATGGACCTGTGACTTGTGGGCCTACAAGGACACTGCTTACAAGGACCTGGAGAGCAGGCCTAAACTGGTGGTAGAAAGAATAGTGAGTGGGTCAGTTCTGCCTGCTCTGCCATATTCAGTACAGAACTCCAAAGACGAAATTTTAACAGAGAATTTGAATTGGAACCTGGCCATACAGGTCATTCTGAAGAAAACCTGTCAAGGTAAAAAGACAGAATGTGTTTTACTTAAGTTTGCTAATTTGCTTTATAACTTCTGAAATGTAGATGGGTGGTATATGGCTTTCCATGAATCCTCTTCTCCAGGAAAAAAAAAAAAAACACAAAACCTAGTGTATGATAAAGCTTCACTTTTAAATTAGGTACATAGATTAACAAAAATAATAAAACAATTAAAACAATATATTGATAATAAGACAGTCCATCTGATAACCAAGATGTGTGCTAAGTGACAAATGGGCAGTGTATTAGCCAGGTTCTTGTTACTGTAACAGATAACTAAGATAATTTATAAGGAAAAAACTTTTATGGTGGCTCAGTTTTAGAGGTTTTAGTCGGTGATTCATTGATCCTGTGGCAAGGTGGCACATCATGGTAGGAGTATTTGGTAGAGCAAGCCATTCATCTTATGGCAGGGAAGTAAAATAAGAAGAGACTGGTGTCCCAGGACCTTCTTCAAGGGCATGCCTCCAATGATCAGAAGATCTCCCACTATATTCCATCTCTTAAGGTTTCTGCTGCTTCCTAATAGTGTCAATATGGTCCTAAGCCTTTAACACATGGGGCTTTGGGGATCATTTTGAACCAAACTATAGCAGGCAGGTAGTATATTCAGCATGAATACACTGGATAAAGGGGTGATTCAGGTCCCAGGCAGGACAGAGTGGGATGGCACAAAATTTCATCATGCTACTCAGAATGGTGCACAGTTTGAGTTGTTTCTGGAATTTTCTATATAAAAATTTTGGAATTCAGTAGACTGTGGGTAAATGAACAGAGAAAGCAAAACCAATATTCCTGTCCACCTACCATTTCCAGATCTCTCCAAGTCAGTATGTTTACCTCTGATATTTCCTTCCTCTGTAATTGGCAATCCTACTAACTCAAAAGCTTGAATCCTCCAACATCATTTTTTCTCTCTAGGAGCCTCCAGAATACCCTCTGGGCTCTGTGTGCACCCATTTTCCATTTGCCTCCGGAGTGATGGTTTCCTAAAGCAGATCTGATGTTGGCAGTGTGTGGCTTAAAGCCTTCCAGCATTTCCTGGGGTTTTGTTTGTTTGTTTTAAAGAAAAAAGTTCAAATCTTTTTCTATGGTCCTTTCCACCCCTGTATCAGGCTCTGGCCTATTCAATCTCACATCACATTCACTTGGATTCCTTTTCTCACCAGGCCCTTGCTCCAGGGCTTTATTTCATTTTCTGGAACCCTCTGAGCATCTTCCAACTGAGGCACTCTTTATTCTGACTGGTTTCTCTCATATGGACTCTGATCTCAGCATGAGGAACCACCACCCCTGGTCTTGAACCGATAAGTCTGTGCTCCCCAGATTCTTGTTAGTTCCCATCTCAAGGGCCTCTTACAGCTCCAACCCAAGCTTTTAGGACTGAATTGCAATAATTAAAGTGAATTTCATTACTACAAAAGGATACTTCATTATTCCTCCAGTGACTATTGGGGGCCTATTTATTATGTGCCTGGTTAAGCTCTGGACTTGGCCTACCTACTAGATTCTACATGCTAAATATTACATACATTGTCCTTTAGTGTACATTCTACACATGATGTAGGATATAATGAATACTAAACCTTTATGTTGTGTTATGTATACTTTGCTGTGTTAAATAGAATATGCTATAATCTACATACAATAAGTAATATATATGATTAATTATATGGCTAATTATATGTACTACAACAATGTTTCACCATAAGAATTTAGCAAACATACATTGAATAAGTGAATATGATATTTAACACCGTATTCTATTCTAGGACAGACTGGTCATTGAGGATTTATTCTTCTAAACTCTTCACCTTTCCCATCCCTCTAGGATGGTTTCCTTCTTTTACCTCCTGTTCTAGTTTCTTTGTACAGATAAATTCAGAAGCTTATCCAAGTCTGAGCTCTAGGTCTGAACCCATATGGACTTTAGAGTGTACCAGAGAAAGAAAGGCTGAATATTGGGTGGTGGAATTGTGGAACTAGTCAAGGCCACTCCTGGGCTGGGAGGGAACCCTGCCATGACTCCCACATCACCCAGGGAGGGGTCCTGGATGGTCCTGGTGATCTTTTTTTTTTCCCCTTGAGAACAAACTTCAGAGAATCGTGAAGTTGCAGAACTGGAAGGGGTATTATGGACAGGGTGTGGCCCCATTCTCTGAAATCATAGGTCCCATTCCCCAAACCAGCCAAGATAGGGCACTCACTCTTCTCCTGAATTCTTGGTGGCAACACTGTCTCCCCAGTTTCCTTGTGTCCAGCTCCACTGCTTTTAGAACAAGTGGCCAGAAAGCTTGTGAGCCCCTTTCTAGAAAAGAAGGGAGGGAGCAAGGGAGGAAGGAAGGAAGGACAAGTACGTGGGTGGGTGGATTATGCGTGAATGGATAGATAGTCTCCTGGGAACCATAATCCAGGCAGGCGGGGTTGTGTCCTTCCCGGGACCCTCCTCTCGCTGCTGGCTGCTGCGGGTGGCTCGCACATCCAGGCCTGCTCCCGAGCACCAAGGAAGGGGATAGAGAGAAGGGATTTGGGACCGGGTCGGGGGAGAACTGGGAGGGAAGAGGTAAGGGGAGGTGGGGAGGGGGAGGGCCTCAAAGCAGAGAGGAGGCGCAGCAGGCGCTGCAGGAGCTCAGCGCCGGCTCCGAAGCGATGTCGCTGCCGCCACCTTCCCTCGGGCCGGGGCTGCGCCGCCCGGGCTGAGCCACAGCGCCAGCAGCTAGCCGAGTGGCCGCCGGACAAGATCACAGCGCGGGAGGATGGGCTGCGGCGGGAGCAGGGCTGATGCCATCGAGCCCCGTTACTACGAGAGCTGGACCCGGGAGACAGAGTCCACCTGGCTCACTTACACCGACTCGGACGCGCAGCCCAGTGCCGCTGGCCCCGACACTGGCCCCGAGGCCGGCGGCCTGCACGCGGGTGAGTGAGCCTGCAGACCCCCGCCTGGCCGCGGCCCTGGCCATCCAGAGAGAAGCCGGAGGGGTGCAGGCAGCAGGGGAAGCAAAGGACCCTTATGGACCGATGGGGGATGGAGAGGGGGACAGTGACAGGACCTGCCCACTCAAGCTGGGGTGTGGGATTGGGGTCAACAGGAGCCGCTTACATAGGGCTGAGCTAATCCCCCCGAGCTTCCCACCAACCCAACGCTTCTTTGCCTTGGCCAGTGCATGCGCCAACCGACCGGGGAAGGATGGGTGGGAGGATTTACCCATCTGGTCCATACACCTACCTCACAGCCCACACCACGTCTCCCACCCGACCCGGTTTGCCTTTGCCTAGCTCTGGTCCAGCTTCTTGTCTGGCCACCTGCGTACCCAGTGGTTTCATCCACTGGCCACCTGGCCCCTCTCCTTTGATTTATAGATAAGACACCGGAGTAGGATCCCCTGGGTGGAGTCTTCTTGTTGCTTCCCTAATCCTTCCTGTTGGGCTTCCAAAATCAGGGCCAAATAAATGCATGCCTACCCTATTACTTTAACTTACTTTTCAGGCAGTTATTTAACAGTGCAGAACTTCCTTCCCTACCCCCTGTCGTCTGAATATAAGACAGGGCATTAATTATTTTTTTTACTACAAATTGAATACTCTTACCTAGGTCATTCTCTAGCCACCAGAAATCTGATAGGATTTGCAAAGAACTTTCTAGTCCAGTCACAACAAAGGATTTTTTTTCAAGCAAACTCTAATAACTACAGAGATGAAAACTGTTGCTATGTATTAAACTTTGATCATGTGTTGGTGACACTAAAAAGAAAAAAATCACTGCTTATTACATGGATGATGTCAAAAGCCAGATTGATATTTGGATTTAAAAAGTTTTGTTTTCTGACTGCTTTATATAGGCATTTTTGAATGATGAAATTTAAAATTTAAAAATAGGGTTAATTTGAAGCATAATGTGTATTTTATGGAGGAAGAAAAAAATGTAAACTACTTTTGAGACTAATAACGCTAAATCAATGCCTCTTAAATTAAGAGCTGCCATGTTAGCTGTGAGGATAGGACTCCCCATCTTTTAGGACCAATGCTGGTTTTGTTTGTTTAAACAATATGGGGTTGGCTGTGTTGCCCAGGCTGGCCTTGGATCCTGGGCTGAAATGAATTTCTTGCCTCAGCTTATTTAGTAGTTGAGACTAAGGGCATGTGCCTGGCCTGGCTCCTTTTTCCACATAAGAAAATTCACACCTCACCCCACCCCCACCCCCACTTTTTTTTTTTTTTTTTTTTTAACTGAGAACAGTCTGTGAAAGCTGTCAGAACACTGGATTTCTCTCTAAATTTCCTGACTCAGAGAAGCAATCATAATGATTATTTTGTGTGGCCAATGCTTCCATCAAGTTCCCAGGTGGTGTGTCGGTCACATTCAGTGTCAAGATGAAGATAAGACATGAGCCTCTAAAGGGACTTGTACATTTTGGATGTAAAAGTATTTCCCAAGGAAGTAGTGGTACTTCTCTGCAGAGTTCAAGGCCAGGGCTGCACAGCAAGGAAATAAGATTGAAAAGATCTGGCATGAAAAAGAACAAAGTACAGCTTCAGAGAACGGTTGCCTTGGTGACTGGCCCTGTATGGTGTGAGAAAGAGAGGGGGGTGAGAGGGAGGGAGGGAGAGAGAGAGAGAATGGATGTGAGAGTTGTTATGGACTGGATAAATATGTACATATATGCTCCTCAAGTCTTTCCTAACATTTATTCACTTATTTCTCTGCCATCCTAACTCAGATCCCATCCATCAGGAGATCTGATCCTTGCAACAGGTGGGGACTGGGACAGGCACGCTGTTCATGGAACTTTGCCAAACATGGGACAGTCTTGCCAGGCAGATGGTCCCGAAGATCTGCATCATACCTAGGATGGATTCAGCTGCCGCTCCAGGACAGTAGTCTAAAATTGGCCAGACTCTTAGATGGGCAGCAGCATTTCAATTCCCTAGAAATTCCCATCAGCCTTGGAGCAGAGGAACATTTCTGAAGACAGAGGTTAAGCCAAGGCTTCTCTTGGAGTGCACTGGTATTCTTGGGGGTCTCTGGAAGAGTGGCTTGATTCCTGTGGCTTTTCAGCCTGGAAACTGGTCATCTTCAGTCAGTGGGACATCTGAGAAAACTACAAATCTCCTGGGTTTCTGCCACCCTGGGAAATTAGCTTGGATTCTTTTTTTCCCCCCCTTTCTGCTTCACCTAGTCCCATCAGTGCTTTAACCATGAATTTAATCCCATTAGGGGACACCTAATGGACCTTGGTGACTAGGTGGTCATAGGAAGCTAGAAGATCAGTTTTTCCTATTCCTAGCAGTCCATTTCTGTTGGAGGGGGAACAAACGGAAGTACTGGATTCAGGAGAGTCCATATTGTTAAAAAAAAAAATCAACCCAGTCCAGTACAATGGTTTTGCAGTGGATTTTAGAGCTAGGGAAGGTCTCTGGAAGTCATCTACCCAAGCAAATGGACTCTTGGTGAACTGTCCCAGTCTGCACTCTACCTCAACCACTTCAAAGCTCTTACTTAACTTCTGGTACCCTTAGTCCTCAAGAACCCTTTCTTTCTGGGCCCCAGTCACTCTCCTTTATTGTCAAATTGAAATCACCTTTCTTCTGGTAGGGAATGGACCCAACTCTTCTTTGTGTCTTCTATGCTTAGCAAATGTGTGACACAGGTTGGTGTCTCATGAAGATTTTCTGAATGAGCAGGTTCTCTGTCCAAACTTGCCCTTAATTCCCATGAGCTCTTCCTAGATGCCCCCTCTTTAGCTCTTCCCTATAGTGCTTGCTGTTCAACTTCCCCACTTAAATCTGTTTAACCTCAGTCCCTCCAAGTACCTTTCTGATCCCATAGCTCCTGTTAAAACAGAAAAGCCTCTGCCCAACTTTATCACACTCTGCTGAAACATCTGGCCCAGCCCCAAAACTCCATAGGTCTCCACACCCCAACTCCATAGCCATGTCTACTGAAAAACTCCAATAGGCATATCTGCTTTGAAATTCCACTTTAATTTTTCATACTTTATCCAGATTGAGGGTGTGTCATATGACAGTATTCAGTAAAAACTTGAATTAATTCTGTACTTCACTGTGGGGCGGGGAGCATGTTTTCACTTCTATGGAGGAAGGAGTGTCTTGTCTCTCCTCACTCAAAAAGTGATCCTAAGCCCCTGGTCCCTGTTCTTGGAGACCATCTCCACTAGCTAGCAGAACTGAACTAAATTTTTAGATTTGACTATTATGTAGGCTAGAATTTAAAACTTAGCTGAAGCCAGTGTCTGATATCCATCATGTCTCTATTACCAAGATCAGGCCCTCCGTCAAAGAAGGAAATTAAATGGGTCTGACATGACTTAATCCTCATAAAATCAGTTTGCTGGACTGAGTTTTACTTCTGTTGTCAGATGGGAATCTCCAAGGAGAAGGGGAGTCTGAGGTTGCTGTGACCCAGCCTTGCTCAGCCATTCCATACATTAGTAACTTCCTAGCTTTGTCTCACTTTAATTGCAAGTCCCTTTTTAAAATTTTCACATATTCCCCTTAGGCTTTTCTCTAATATCTCCAGAGAAGACAACATTTCAAATTATTATCGTATGAAAATTCCCTTAGTTTAAGGAAGTTTGAAGAATTAGAGACAGCAAAATGATTTACCTAAATAAAAGTCTAATAATATGACAAGCCTTTAATAATTACTATTAGCTAACATTTATTGACAACTGATCAGGGGCCAGGCAGTGTACTTGGCAGTTTATGTCAATCATATCATTTAATGTTTATACCCAGGATAAGATAGGAACTGTTACCACCTTCCTTTTTACAAAAGGGATTGAGGTTTAGAGTTGAGTAACTTTTCCAGCTCAGGACTGGGATCCAACTCTGATTCTGAAGCCCACACTCCTAACTACTGCCTTTCTTGTTCATAGAGATTTGTTATAAAATTCTCTGTTGGCAGTTGATGGTACTCAAAAGTTTAGTACATCCTCTAGATGGTCCAGTCTCTCTGACCAAACAATTTTCTCTGCATTGTCCCTGAGATATCCCATCGATATCTCTTCCCTAGGACGGGGGTCTCCCCATGCCATTGCAGAGCATCTTCCCTGCGATTTCCACCTGGTGAAATCTGAACTTATATGATTAAGTCTTGAATAATTAGCTCCTTTTGATCCTTGAAAATGCTTTCCACCTCCTCTAACCTCCTCCAGGCCAGACACATGCAGTTCCTTAATCATTTCTCATGTCTCTTGTGGGCCTAACCCTATTCCTATACACATACCACTAGGTTTGTCAAAGTCTTTCCAGATACAAGGGACCTAGGGTAACTCCAAACTCCTGCTGTCAGCTCAACAGCAGAGGGCACTTGGAACATTCTAAAGTGGCCACAGAAGTAAACTCTCTCCTCCTGCAGGTAAAATCAGGTTAGGATTGTTTTTCTGTTCTTGTTGTTGCCATATTACCTTGATGACTCACACTAAGCTTGGTTTTTTTTTAAAACCCTTAGATTTTTTTTTTCTAATTCAATTGGAGTTATGTGACATTAGGGACATTGTATTTTCCCTGCTATATTCCCAGCACCTGGGACAGTGACTGGAATATAAGTGGCACTCAATAAATATTGAATTAGTTTTTTTACCCGCCCTGTGAATCTTACATCAGAACTATTGGTTTCAGTAACCACCAGTTGGGATTTTTTGCATTTTTTCCTGTTAAAATTCAACTTGTTTACCTTCAGTGTTTAAAATTGCTGATGTTGATTCATGTTATAGTGCTATAAAGAGAATATTCCAGGTTTATTTTTTTCCCCTGTGTTGACAGACTAAAGATGAAATACATTTGCTCTTCTGTTCCTTCAATAGACATTTGGCACAAAGATAAAGTCAAGAAACATATCTTACCTAAGAGGTTAATAATGCAGGAGACACAGACACAAAAGTGGACACACTTCA